TAATACTGAATAACTTTTAAAAAAGGTGTAATACAAATTTACAACAATTTATTTAACAAAGCATAACAAGTTTTAAAATCTCAATTTTTGTTTAGAACTTATTTAGTAACAATGCAGTAATTGTCATGGTCTATTATATGTACAGAGGGGTGGGGTGAAGAAGGGGAATCAGAAGTGGAAGAGGTGATGATTTGATTCAGCTCTTACAGGGCCGTAATTCCTTGGTCAGAAAGTATGAAAAACTCAATTTAATGCGCTTAATTCAATGTGTAACACAGGTGTCTCAGGTTTCTCAAACCAGGGAGTGGAGCTCTCTGTCCATTAAGAACAAAATAACCAGCAGACAAAATAGAAGCAGACTCATAGATAAAGAACAAACTGACAGCTGTCAAAGGGAAGAGGGGTTGGGTGAAAAAGATGAAGGGATTAAGCAAAAAAAACAAAACACACACACACACACACACACACACACACAAATAACCCCACCCCCCCAAAACGCCCAAAAAACTCATAGATTCAGACAATAGTATGATGATTACCGGAGGGAAAGAGGGGTGGGAGGAGGTAGAAGAGGGTATGGGCGGGGGGGGTAATGGTGATGGAAGAAGACTTGATTGAACACACAATACAATATACAGGTAACGTATTATAGAATTGTACACCTAAAATCTATATAATTTTAATCAATATCATCCCAATACATTCAATTAAAAAGTTCTTTCTAAAAAAAGACAGATGTCTAAAATTAGGAAGACTCTAATAGAAAATAAGAGAATGGAAAAAAAAAAGAGAGATGAAGGCCGGGTGAGGTAGATTTCAAAATATCAAGAATTATTAATGTTACTCTACTGCTAGAGTGAAAGGAACATAGAAATAAAACAAATTTTTAAAGAATAATGTATGCAGTAATGTGTGGTTCCTTTTGTTATAAAGGACATCTTCAGTATAATTGGAGAAAACTTGCATGAGGTCTGAGCTATACATGACAGTCAATGTTTATTTCGTGGTTTTGATGGTTGTGTCGTAGAGAATGCCTTTTTGTAAGAAATACACAGCAAAATATCCAGGGATATCATGGCGGGATGCTCTCAAATAATTTAGGGAAAAGTTCTTTGTACTCTTCTTGCAACTATTCTATCAGCAAGCTTATTTAAAAATGAAAACATTTTTAAAAGGAAAATATATAGTGAAAACTCAGTCAGAAACCAACCAACCAAAACTTGTGACCAAGAGTTATGATGTGTGTATATGTTTTGTTTATATAAAAATGTAGCATTATTATAAAAAATTAAAAGAAAGGTTTTAATATTAAATTTCATGATAGGGGATTATTGCCTTTTACTTTCTCATGTAGGAAGAATCAATGAGTCTTGGACCTCCTGCTTCTATACCTCTCGTCTTCTAAAGTGAGAATTGATATTCAGAATGTTGTCTCTCAATTATATCATATTAAATTATTTGGGGGGTAATCTAAATTATTAGGAGGCATAACTTCATTAAGAAGTGTTCAAACAGCTGCATTCTTGGTTCATCCTGAGTTATACAAAAAATACACTAACTAGAATATGCAATTCTGAGTATCTACAGATATTGTAGTTTACATATTTGTCCAAAATTATGTGAAATTTATTATTTTTCATTGTAACTAGTTTCTATAACAGCCTAATATTTAGAAAACACTTTTTATTATGATTTAAGGAAATTTGCAAAGTTCTATTATTTCTTACACACGAAGTACCAAAAAACTACTAAGAAATATAATGGATGAGCAGCAAGCTTCCTTGGATTACTTATCTAATCAGGTATGAATTTTTGGTATCATGTTGTTATTGTATTTGCAGAAGGACACAGTTATCTAGAAGTACAATCATTTACTTTTCTGAATGCATTCATGTCCAGACATCTATTTAGTGTCTCCTATATTGGAAGCACCATAGTAAGCCTCAGGCAAACAGAAAGTAACAACAACAACAACAAATGACCTTTACTTAAGGGTAACACAGTCCAGAAGAGCAGAATTACGTACTGAAAATGTTTTGAATGCTGTCAGAATGACACAAAGGTATCCAAGATCCAAGATATGATAACCTTTCTAGATGAATAGATGCTTCAAAGGTCACAAAGGGTGGGTAAGAGGGTAGGGCATGGTATTCTCAGAATACTCGGGCATTGGTGCAGTGATGTAGTGGCTGTTGAGTTAAGGATGTAGAAGAAACACTGACTAAAAGAGATAGGAATTAAATCACGCCACACCAACAAGTCACCCAAATGTCTGAGCAGCGAAATCACATGGTTAGATTGGCAGCTGGTGTGCAGGATGACTTCAGAAGGAGTAGAGGAAGGGAAGAGAGACTCCAGATAGGGAACTACAACAGTGGTTCAAGCAAGATATCAAGAACAGATTTGCAAGAGCAGTCAAGTGCAGAAATAGGCAGATAAAAGCAAGGGCAGTTGCTACTTAGCTATGCCTTTACTGCTTTTTTAATACAGTAAAGGATTCAATGTAGAAATATGGCCATTATATGTGTTTCAGAGATGGATTTATAAGAAGCTTAGAGATATTCGTTATAGAATTCAGCTAAAGGAAGTTTGTCCAAATATAAATTTGCTTCAATGTGTGCGTATGTGTTTAGGTTAATGAGCTCATGAATCGAGTTCTCCTTTTGACCTCTGAAGTGTTTAGAAAACAGCTGGATTCTTTTCCTCACAGACCAGTTCAGTCACATGGTGAGAACTTTGGCATTTCAACCTTTTCATATTTCTCTTTTATTGCTTGAAATTTTCCTGGACAGGTTGGGGCATTTAGAAGTTTTGTTTCAACAGTACAGCTCACTATTATCTAACAGACTGGAGGAGTAATATTTGCCATTAAACAAATTTCAACCCACACTATGTGTGCTTTCCTAAATTGGGAAACTTCTCTGACATTTTGAAAGCCATGGCTGTATACAGATATTCTGAATCTGTTGAAAATAGTATAGTTTTATGTAATTGAATTCTGGGCTCCCCTTTATATTTTATTATAATTAATCTTTAGCTAGAAGAAAAGAATTTTCAGAGTTCCCTCCACCTATAAAAGTATTTTTGAAACATTTCAAATTGGGACTTAAAATTTGAAAAGAAAAAGAAAAAAGACAGAAATAAACCAGGATTTAGCATTTTTTGTACTAAAAATATATAGTAATTCCTGGAAGCTTGGGTTTCTAAGAAAAAATGCCTATAAATCTTACATTTATAGATTAATATAAAAAATTCCAAGTAGATGAATATTATTGAGGGCCTAGTAGTGTACGATCTTTCTTTTTTCCTTACAAAGGGAAGAGAATAAACAGCTACTTAGAATCTACTATGTGTCAGGGATTAACATATGTTAACAGGGATACCATTTTCTCATGTTATTTTGTTATTTTTTTTTCACTTTATTGTATCTCATTTATTTCCCATAACCATCCAAGAGGTAGATAGTGTTACATGGTGGTGAGGAGCATGGAGTGTAATGTCAGACTGCTTTCTTCAGATCTCACCCACTGTTTCCTTAATATCAGTATCCTAATCTGTAAACTGACAATACCTACCTCATGTGGTTGTTGTGAGGATTAAGTGAGTATATACATGCAAAGCTCTTAAAATATTGCCTGACGTGTAGTAAGACAATATAAGGGTTTGCTGTGATGGTGATAATCATCAGATGAGGAATATGCAGCCCAGAAAAATCTAAGTAAAATGTTCACACTTATATAGATGGTGATGTCAAAGAAGATATTCCAATCCAGATCAGTCTTTCCCTGGAAACTTCTATCATATCTTTGAGCATACATTTATTATAAGAATGTCTCAGTAATTCAGAACAAAGGCAACAAATCAATATCTCCTGGAAATGAAGGGAAAAGCAAACAATTTTATGGCTAATTTTTTTGTAGATGACCTCTTTTGAGCATTTACTGTGTACTAGGCTCTGTGCTAAGTGCTTTACATAAAGCCTTCGGATGTAGATCATCAGGCTAACACTACAAAGTAGATATTATTGTAATTATTATTATTATATTGCACATGGAGCAAAGAGGTTAAGTAACTTAGCGAATGTTCTCGATTAGTAAGGAGAGGAACTAGGACTCTAACCCAGGCTCTTGGCTCTGGAGTCCTAAGCTTTCATGTGCTTGTTTTTCTGGGTAATTGACACCTGTGAGGGTTGAATTTATTTTATTAGATTTATAAAAGGTAATACAGAATAAAGTATCGTAGAGTAAAATGTAATATCCATATCCACATAAATACAGTATGTTTACAATTCCCTGGCAGTTGTAGAACGCTTTGGGGAGGGTGGTTACAGGGTGCTACAATTCTGTTGTCAACCGAGCAGGCTTCAAGCATAACTTCTTCTCAGTGAAGAAAGTGATTTTCCCCTTCTCTCCCTTTGCTGCTTGTGATAGTGGTCCTCAATACATCAAAGTTTCTGAAGTTTTGAATATAGTAGTCAAAGGTATGTTAATAGTAGTTAATCTACATAATTCCTTTGGGTTTTCTCCTTCCTGTAGATAAGCCTAGATTCCTAAAAAAGCATTATTTATTGGGCAAGAGAATGTATAATTATAAAATATATTAAATAAATGTTGATCCCAAATGAAACTTTTAAACAGTAGCGAATATTAATAACTAACAGTGATGTTATGTTTATTATAGCATACATTCTTTAATCCCAGTCTTTCCATGTGTTTTCTCTTTATTTCTAAAATGGAGATCATTTTTCATTTCCAAGAGTTAAAATCATCATATCCTTAGTGGAATTTGTAATAATTTCAAAGCACTGTTAATTCTCTACAGTAAAGTTATTATCTTAAATGTACACTTGAAAATATCCTAAATAACTAATTTTACTTTTCTAGGTTTAGATTGTACTGATATTAAAGATACTGTTGGCTCTGTCACCAAAACACCAAGTGGTTTATACATAATCTATCCAGAAGGATCTAGCTACCCATTTGAGGTAAAGTTTTCCCTTATTATATGAAATAGGGTAAATATCCAACCACATTAATTAATGTTAATATTTAATTATTTTAATACTTAACATATCTCTTGAAAAATTTTAAATAAGTTATTATAAGTTCTAGTTTCAAATTTTGTTTTTTAAAAGTTCTTTGCCCAAACCACAAATGTGTAAAGGGACTACAGAGTCTTTCACTTTTCTCTCTGAGTTTTCATGGTTATACTTTTCAAAGTAAATCCTTTTAGTTCAAAATCTTTTTTTTTTAACATATATTTTATTGATTCTTTACAGAGAGGAAGGGAGAGGGCCAGAGAGCTAGAAACATCGATGAGAGAGGAAAATCGATCAGCTGCCTCCTGCACACTCCCCACTGGGGATGTGCCCACAACCAAGGTACATGCCCTTGACCAGAATCAAACCCGGGACCCCCGAGTCCGCAGGCCGA